TTTTTCCCTCAGTGCACTGTTTCATTGTTATAGTTAGGCCATCCCTTTTTACACATTTTGTCTGATCATTTTCTTTGTTTTGTCTATGTTCCATTTTTCTTTGTCGTAATGAATATTAATTGGGAAGTATGATTTTGTCAAAGATAAGAGCTTTTCTCGAAGTCTAGAGGTTAATATATCTTCAACATAAGCATTGAGGCTTCAGGTTCTGACTTGAGATCTGGGGCTTTTTTGGTTTCTACATTAAGGAATAAGGTTAGCTTGTTATGGATTTTGAATGCAAGTGGTGGCCCAGAAGTTTTGTGGATAAGGTGGTGTTCACTTGGAAGTGTTCCTTGTCATCTTTTCATGTAGCACTGAATTCCACCTATTATGGTAGTTTTCATGTCTGTTATAGTGTATGTCTTCCTGAGTCTAAAACACCACTAAGATTGGAGAAAATAATTATAATACCAAAATGAACTTGTTGGTGCAGTTGTAAGGTGGTTAAGAGACTGACATGTTAACATTTGATGGAGAAAATGCATGACTTATATGGAAATTTTCTCCTTTTTGGTGCTTTCTTCAAATATATACACTTGGATTCTAAAATCAGGATCTAGTCTGGCTCTGGTTACCCCAGCAAATCCACCAGTTGGCCATTATATTGATACCCAACTTTTAGTATCGGATTCTTCATTGTCAATTTTTATGAAAGAAAAAATTCTATTGGAAAGAAGAAGAAAATTTCTAGAAAGATGAACGGAGGATAAATATCCTGTTAAGAAAGCAAAAAAAAAAAAAAAAGAGCCAGAAAAAAGAAAATTCTTATTACCAAAACTGATCCTTTGCAAAATAGGTAAGGAAAACCTCCGAAAAAAGTCATGAGCCTAATCCAAAGGGAAGCAATGAAAACCCAGGCATCTGAGGAGGATACAATGATAACTATGGCAATGACATTTCTAACTATAACAACTATTTTTGATATCCGGGTAAGGTGGTGAAGTGGGTAGAGTTAGGTAGTTGGTTAGGGTAGTGTAACCTATCATGGGTTAGATTCTTATTTTACCATATGTTTGAGATGATTGAATAATAAAATGAGTAGTATATCACAAAAAAACTACTCTTTTTTTTTTTAAATTCATTTTACTAAATGGTGACAATGGTGGCGTTGCTAGTGGTATCAATGGCGATAGCAACAGTTGCAGAGTTGGTGGCTTACGGTAGTGGCAACATAAGGTGGCGATGGTAGGGGTGATAGCAGCAATGGTAGAAATGAGTTGGTGGTAGCATTGATAGTGACGATGACAATGATAGTAGTAACAATGACAATGGTGGCGACAGTGAAAACAACGGCTATAGGCATAGTGGCAGCAGTTATTGACTACAATTTAGGAGCAGGTGGCAGCGTGAATGGTTAGCAGTGATAGTGATAAAGGAGGTGATAGCTGTGGTGGCCACATGTGCGGGCAGTAGTATGAATGACATTGATGAAGGGGGGTAATGGTAGTAGTAGCAAGGGTTGCAACAGAAGTAATGAGGGTGACTGTGATGGCAATGATGATAGGGTGGTGGTGGTATTGGTCAGTAGTGACATTGGTTGGAGAGGGGCAGTGGCAGCAAGGATGACAATTGTGGTTTTCTTGTCAATGAATAGATTTGGAAAAAAAATTATATAGGATTGCTGTAGTCTAGTGTGGGGTGAACAACACTATCATGGGGTGAACAACACTACCCATTCTAGCGTGGGTGGTACTTAAACCTACCCATGATTTACTCTCAATAGAAATCCTTAACCACTCCTTTCCCCTACCCTACTCGATGTACCAAACATAACGTAAGACCCATCACTATAGAAGAATGTTCATGCACGATTTTGGTTCCCCCTTAATTATTATATTTTAATTATTTAAAATTAGTTTCTGAATAGCACATTGGTGGCTGTGGCAGAAGGATCATTAAGAGATGACCTTATGGATAGAGGTTGGATCTCAAGAATGCCTTTTGGTTGTTATAGGCTCTTGCCTGTGGAGAGGTATCAGGAAAGACTGCTTTTCATTGCATAATGGACAAAGTTTCACATTCTGGGAGGATGTATACTGGAAAAATGATCCCTTAAAGGTTCACCTTGCCAATATCTATCAATTAATTGTCTTTGTTGGAGGACTTTTTCTCAGCATGGCAGGATTTCTTCCTGGCACATTTGTCTCCATCACAATTTCAACGGTTTGGAGCTCGAGGAATGTGTTGAATTCTTCAATAGCCTGGAGGCTTGTTTGGTGGATCAAAGTGTTGAGGACACCCTGCTTTGGAGCCTTTCCAAGTGTGGGAAGTTCTCTGTCAGACTAAATCATGCTACCTTGCCTCTTGAATCGGGATCATGTCTTGACAACTTCCCCTGTGGCCTATTTGAAGAAGGAAAGCCCCCCTTAGAGTTGCCTTCTTTGTCTAGGAAGCCACTTGGAATTGCACCTCACCTTAAGTAATTTGGGGAAGAAGCACTGCGTTATTATGAACTGGTACTGACTTTGACTCGGTGACGGTAAGTTCCATAACTCTCTCCTTTTATCCCATTCTGAATGTAGAAGGCCCTGGGATTCAGCTTTCAGTCTTTTGGGCATCAGCTGGGTGATGATTAACTCTGTTTGGAATGAGCTATTATCTTGGAGTTACGTACACTGCCAGATAAGCAAGAAGAAACTGGGAGCCTAATTCCTCATGGCATTTTTTGGACCATGGGATAAGAAAGGAGTAGGAGACTCTTTGGGGGCATCTAATTTTGCTAAATTGGAGATGCTGGTTTCAGGCTTTAAATATTTTACTTAAAGGTCAGCCTATCCTGCACAGGGAAGACGTCGGGAACTTATTGATTTTTTGATCGAGTCCCTTGTAGTTTCTTGTCTCTTTCTTTTGTTTTTGTATTTGGGTTGCGCCCCTTTGGTGCTCTTGTACGATACATATGTATATATATATTTATATGTATTTTCCTCTGAAAGAAAGAGCACATATGTGGCATTTGTGAATGATCAATCTGCATTACCGGTCAATTAGAAATAGAGCCTTCACAATTGCCGACACCTTATTCTTTGTTGTCGGCAACCCAAGCTTGCCAGCCTTCAACCTCCAGACATGTATCCGAAGTTTAGATTTTTAATTGTATGTTGTTTTTACTATACTGTTTAAGGTTATTTTAGCTGGATAAAAAGGTCTTGACAGTAAATTGCCTCCTGATTTGACAGATACCTCCTAACCTGTTGAAAGACTGCAAAGCTCTGCAGAATATTTCCCTGCACAACAATCCCATAACAATGGATCAATTTCAACAGGTGAGTGACATCTCCCAAATGCATGGTTAGTCATGTTCATATTTTCTCCAAAAGGAAAAACAAAGTAATGCCTACTTCACTATAACTTCTTGTTCAACAAAATTTTAGATGGAAGGATTCCAAGATTTTGAAGCAAGGCGGAAGAAGAAGTTTGACAAACAAATTGACTCTAATGTGATGATCGGCTCCAAAGGTCTTGATGAGGGTGTTGATCTACGATAACATTGCGCTAAGAGTTCTCATAAAGGGTAAAGTTTGGTTGTAGAAAATGAAGTTATAATAGTGACCTAGTCTCTCGCTGAGTTCAGTTTTGATGAAGTGACTTGCTCCAGCTGCCTTTAGCTTTAAAGAATTTCTGGTTTACTTATATTATATTAATGATGGTTTTGTTTGGCGGCCAATTGACTCTTGGGAAGGTTTTAAATTGGATCTACATTCCAATCCTATAGCGATCAATAATTTTCAAAATATATCCTTTGGAAACTGTCCAGAAAATGGAAGATTTTAGGTTCCAGCACTACTAGATTGCATCTCATGGCACTTGATTTGATGGAATTTCAATCAATATCTTCTGTTCATAGTATCCCTCCAAAATTTCTACATTATTCATTCATGCCATTATATCGGGGTGAGGAAAAAGAATTGTCTATTTGGCTAGCAAAGAGATGCACATTCCTAAGAAATTTATTACTTTGAGTTTTACATGCTATTGACATGCAATTTTTTTGTTTATATAAAAATTTACCCATTGTATAACGAAGCTGACTTGTGGCATCTAGTGATTGTGATGTCAGATTGAGTATGCAAAACGATGGCTCATTACCGATAAACTGCTAGGATCCCAGCAAATAATTACATAGACTAGCAGAGAGTGTTGGTGGCTGGAAAAAATCTCTTTGATGAAATAATGATTTTTTTCTCCCTTCTTCTGTGTGTTTATATTTAATTAAAATAATTTTTTTGCCTTGTATCTAATTAAGGATAATACTTCAAAGTGTGGCTATGTCGAACAGGTTGGTGGCTGTTGATGCTATTTTGATACGAGGAAGCTGTTGCAATTTTGATGGGTGTAAATTTGGATTTTTCCTCTCTGCAGCTTGTTGTTGGAATACAGGAAATATATATATATATATATATATTTTTTGCTGCAGCTTGATTAGGTGAGTTCAAATCCAGTTGTAAATAGTAGCTTTTGTTTTTTTTTTTTGTTTTTGGGGTAAATAGTAGTTTCTGTGTCAGACAATTTCCAGTTTCTGAGCACATGAAAAAAGAACGGGACCTTCCTCTTATGATGCTGCATTCTATGACAAGGTTTAATTTCTATTTCATATTTATTTATTTATTTCTTTCCTCGGTCATGAGACTTGAGACTAATTTTGGTACGCGGAACTATATTAAAATTTTATATGTTTAATCACCCCTACTCTCCATATAAAACTCTATTATAATTTCTTTTTTGTGAAGATAATAAGATAAATTGATTAAATGTAATAATAAAACGTAAATATTAAAGCTTTTTTTTTTTTTTTTTTTGTAACAATAGTAGTATTAGGTGCAAGTATGGTTTAGAATTTTTGTATCAAGCCATTAACTAAATAATAAAAATTGACTGACGTACAAAAAATTATACAACTACAGTTTAGAATTTCCTTTTGATATTTTTATTTTAACTTTTGTTATCTAGTTTTATTCTAATAAAAATTGTGAGAGAAAATATGTGTAGAAATGTAATTAACGTAATCCAAACTTTATATTATTTCTCTCACGTATACCGATAACCCTACACAACTACTTATTAGCAAATAAGTTTTGACTTAAATAATTTAATTTTTCTATATCATTATTTTTAACCAAGGTACCGTGTCTATTTATTTCAAATTATTACAATTTATTTATTTTTTAAATATTTATTGTTCAAATTTTAAACTATTGCAATTGATAATAAAAAATAAATATATTTTTATAACTCTTGTCTGCAATTTACCACGAGCTTTACTCTCCTTAATTAATTAATTAATATTTTAAAGCACGTGCGTGTGTGATACAGTGAACGAGACAAAAATATCTGCCATTAATTTCCAATTATGTCAGCCAATCAGGCATTGTCAGTCTGTTTAACCCTAACCGCCAAACACGTGTCGTCCTCTCGTTGGCCTACGGTTATCAAATTGACCACTCCTGGGCGTACCACCTTATATAGCAGTTCGCATGCACGTCTGTCGAGTTCCCGCGATCGGAGGGGCAGTCGCTGTAATTATCCTCTAACTACGTGTCCTTTTTACTTTCTTGCTTTTCCCGGACAGTTCGTTTACGAAAATTAAGGTAATCTTAGATTTTTCCCCTTTTCGATTTCGATATTTTTCACCCTCGATTCGATCTGGATTTTTTTTTTTCTCTCCGGATCTTTAAATCATTTATGGGTTGGGATTTCGATCTAATTCATTAGGGTTTGGAAGGTTTTCCTGTCTGTATTTTTGATCCTAGATCTAGTGTACCATTTCGCAGATTACGGGATTTTGGGATCTGGACTTCGTCTTTCACCTGGAATTTGTTCCAATTTTGTGAAGCTCTCTCGATTCTTTGCGGGTCTCTTGCGTTCTGCTCTTTTTTGATTATCTAGGGTTTTTTTTAATTTGTAGATCTGATCAGTTTTGAGTTCGATAATTGTTCCATTAGTTCGAAGAGAGGTGTAAATTTTCTATTATTTTCAAGAAAATTGGGGCTTTTCATTTTATCCGGTGCGAGTAATTAGGGTTTCCATCTGACCTTGCTGTTGATTTGAGTTCTATAGTTCCATTTTAGTGATCGGAAGAAACATTTGACGGGAGACTATTAGTGAGGTATAAAGCTGTTTTTTTTGCTTATTCATTTGTATTTCTGCAATTATTGTCGTCATTATATGTATATACGTGTGGATATTTAATTTACAAATTAAACATCAGTTTCAGTTTTTTCTTTCTCATGGCAACTGGCAAAAGTTATTTTTGGCAGTGATATTGATATGGGTGTCCATTTCTTTTTTCAATTAATATAGGGAAAAAAAAAATGGTATTTGAATATCGGGGAATCAGGATAGACTGTAGTCAACGATTACAGAAAAATGTAGGCCTCATGTCACTTTTTACCAAATTGTCCTCCAAATGGGAAATTTCCTATGTGCTTATAATAGGAATGGAGTGCCCCGGTGACTGGCCCTACATGAATTTTGGATATAATAAAAGAGTAATAAATAGATATAAATCATAGTTTCATACAAAAACAAAATTCTTTTTAGTTTTATCTGGAAGGGTGCTTGACGTACAAAATGTATGGTATTTCTTTTAATGAAAATTAGCTAGTAAAAGGAATTTAGGTGGCCTGTTAGTTCCTAAAATTATTTATTTATTTATTTTTCGTAAACATAATATATATTTTACGGAAAATTTTAGTATGAAAGGCAGCCTTATGGAGCTGGATGTTTGTCAAAGAAAACACTTGTCTCTAACTCGTTTCAGATGAGAAACAACCTTCTAGAAAGTTCTTATTTTGGCATTTTTTATGTTATGATATTCGAAACATTCTTAGTCGGCACATTATGGTAGTTTTTATTAGTAGGATTTAGCAGTTCCCGAAAGTTATTTATAGTCTGTGTCAGTCACCTTGGTGGTTTCTATAGAATTTTTTGCTATAAAGTTCAACTTCTATATAGGATGTTGATTAATCATTTTTGCGTTGAAACTGTTATAACTGCTAAAGTTAGGAAATGCTACAAATAGTAAATGATTTATCCATTTATGCTAATGATATTATTTGATTTCAAAGTTGGGATTTAGGACATGAATGTGGTCTAGGAAAGAAGCTAAATTGTAAGTTTGTTTCCTTAGAGAATTGAGTGAACCCCATCTTTTCACATTTCCCAAAATTTGAGTTACATTCTGAAATTTAAATTGGTAGTGCCAGTCTTGGTAGGTTACGTTGCCGATTCTTTATATAAGTAGGTGCGACAGTTCATTTCTTTGTAAATTTTGCTCCCTTATGTTGTCTTCCTTTGGTGTTGCTTAATGAACAATCAATTCATGTTTAATCTTGTGACCTCCAGGAAAAAATGGTACAAAAGCGGCACTTTAACAATGAGAAAGATTTGAGGTTCCTTCCAAGCATCCCAGACAATTGGATAACGCAGACGAGCTAGTTTCATTTTCGGAAATTGTTTTTCCTCATTGTATTTCCAAGAAACATCACTCTTCAGGTGAGAGGGCTTTCTTTGTGTATGTAAAGTTATTAATACATAAGAAGTTGGGTTTTGGGCATGTTTGTTCCACCAGTTATATCTTTAGCTATTTCTTTTCTTTGAATTATGCAAGCCTTTTTAGGCTGAGTTACTGAGCAAGGATTGAATTTGTTCTATCCATTGCTTATCTTTGTCCTGCTAATCAAATTGTTCCTTGTCTACTGTCCTAATCTCCTTAAATTTGCAAATGTCTCTGCTCCCCTGGCTGATTTTTATTCTTTCAACCTTTGTATTAGTCGTTGATTTTTGTTTATTTTTTAAGTTTTGTTTCCAAGCACCAGTCTCATCTGTATGGATAGAACATTTGAATATTCAGTTATTCATTCTATAGTTCTCTTTGTGAGGTGATTGTAATAATTGTGACTTAGACGTAATCTATAATTTTGAAGGAGACGATGAATCCATTAGAAGTGATGTTCATGTTGATGAAAAGCTTACAAGCAGCATTATCATTCAACATCCAGAAAGCACGAAGGACGTTGAAACCAGCAATCCGCTTCCATTTCCTTCTCATCATGGTACATTGCCAACAACTACAAAGAAGATTCTGGACTTGAGCCACACTTTCATGCACCTTTTTTCTCTGAATATTTTAATCGTGAACATCCAGAAAAGACCTTAGCTCCTTGTCAGGATATCTATAGCTTACTTTTAGATTCCCCTCCAAGAAAACCAGTACCTGTTGGAGAAAATCATCAAGCTGATGTGCCAGCATGGGGCTCATGGACTGCTGAGAGTACTGACCATATAGCTACATCTGAAGCAGTTTGGGATGCTGAAGTTGCTTGCACGGAAGAAGATGTGAATATGCTGATGGGAACCTGTATCATTCCAATGCCTGATTTCGTGCTTTCTGAATCTGATACTTATGAAGTTGGAAAAGGCAGACTTGATTGTAGCTGTGAGGATGAGGGTTCTATCAGATGTGTCAGACAACACATCATGGAAGCAAGGGAAAAGCTTAAAAAGTCTCTTGGGCAGGAAAGGTTTGTGGAACTTGGATTTTGTGAAATGGGTGAATTTGTTGCAGAAAAATGGAGTGATGAAGAGCAACAATTATTCCACATGATTGCGTCCTGTAACCCTGCGTCAACAGGTCAGAACTTATGGGGCAATCATTCAGGTTGCTTCCCTTCTCGTACCATGAAGGACATTGTCAATTATTACTTTAATGTCTTCATGCTTCGACGACGATCTGAACAGAACAGGTATGACCATGAGAACATTGATAGTGATGATGATGAGTGGCAGGAGAATGATGATGATAGTGATACAGAACATGGAACATCAGATGAAGATTATGATTCTGTTATTGAATCAACTGGATTTCAGGGTGATTTTTGTCATCTTCAGGATAATGAAAATGATTTCGATGTCTATCTGGAGGTTGCAGATGAAGCATGTCATAAGGTTGACAAAGTAGATTATGATGCTGGTAAAAGCGCTAGCACAATCTTAGAAACATATCCAGAGAAGTTGCTACCTCAACTGCAGGACAAAGTTTCTTTGACTGAGAAGGGTGACAATCAACTCCAAAATGGCTCGTGCACGTCGTCTGGTGGAGGGGCTTTGCCAGAAGGAACCCAGATGAAGGCTGAAACTGGTCATTTAAGTGGCACTGGTAATGGTCATGGGTTTGGAGCCTTCTGATATTAAAGCTTCAGATACTGGGTTTATAAGTGACCATATTGATAAAGTGGACTTTTCATCTGCTTGCAGTCTGATTGAAGGGGTATTTGGTGACAAGCCATGAAATCACTTGACTGAGATGGTTAGAGCTTGAGCTAGTTTTAATAAAGACCGCTTCAGCACCGAGGCCTACATTTGAAAGCCCTGGGTGCTTGATGTTTGCTGTTAAGGTGAATAAGCAGTACCTTTCCCTGCATAAGGAATTGGGAGCTCAGTTTTCTGTGAACAATTTTCTTTTGTATATATGCGTAAACAAGG